CCCCAAAACCCCAAAACCCCAAAACCCCAAAACCCCTACAATGTAAATAATTATAGAAATATTATAATTTCATGGAAAAAGGAAATATTGCTCACACTCGGATAAGCATTAACAGTTTGGATCAGAAGCTGGTTCCTTCTGAACCAAATAAAAACACTCAAAACTCAAAAGCAAATAAGAGAATTAAGAAGAAAAGCAAAAACTCTAAAATATAAAAATATTAGGTAAATAAACAGCTGTACTAATAATACTTATTAATTTAAGAGTTGCCATGCCTCAAATTCAAAGTTTGGTTTAGAACCATCAAAGCCTAAAATTAACCCTTCAAAAAATAAGGATGAACAAAAGGTTAAATTGAGTGACTGAATCAGATTCAAAGATACTCACAATTTCGATTCCTTGTATGATGATTCACAGATTGTATATAAAGAAGCTATTAAGAAATCATTGTATACTCTTGGTAGAAAGAAATCAGAACAAATAGGAATTAATAAGCAAACCCTTAATCCTCGTAGCTCGAGTAAGTTAAGAGGATCTAAATCACCCACCCAGCCTAAACAGAATTAACCAGTTGAATAAGCCCCCAAAAACGCCGTTAACCTTGAAAGAGAAGTAAGAATTCATAAGACTTAAATCGTGCGAACTTGATTTATATGCATAATTTGGAAATGCTTACTAACTTGCAGAATTTATATATAAATTATTAACAACTTATGCTTCATTCTTGAAACTTACTGTTCTAATACCAAATAGCCAACCAAAAAACTCCCCAAAGTGAGAATTAGAAAAAGCTGATGAAACCCAACCATTGTCTCGCAAATTCACAATTCCCAAAATAAGAAAGCTAAAGAGTAACCATCAGTCACTTCTCTATATTTTATATATTATAAACAACAAGGCTCCCATGGCACTGACCAAGAGTCCCTTAACTAAAACTTGATGTTTAGAAGAGGATATCAGAACAGTGTAATTATCGATAAGTAAGGCATTGCAGTTAGCTTAGATTCTTTAAAAGAGAGATTAACCAAGAAAAAGACAAAATGGCTAAATAACTCATTCATCCAAAGCCATATCAATAGAATCAACAAAAGGGCTGAGTATGATTTTTAGTTATTTTTAGGAGTTCAAAATTTGATAAAGTAGTCATCAAAGACATAATGGTCAATGACTTCATGATTCCTGCTGGCAAATTAGAAGAAGGTACATTTGAAATAATGTCTAGAAAAATATGCGAGCATACAAAAACACTCTACAAAGAGAATAAAATTAAGAGCATTGAGAAGTATTGATAAGACTATTGGGTCATTACAAAAGAGGATTCGAAGATCATTACAAAATAAATCTATATCACTTTCTCCAAGGTAGATATATTAATTAATTGTTAGAAAAAGGAAGGTAAAAATGACCAAATCTTCTTCACATGGGAATTCTCTCCAAAATATTATTGAAGAAAGCTTCTGAAGTAAAAATATTTTCATGAGCAATCTCAGCCTATCTTCAATACCAAACGCCAAGCTAAAACATAATGTAATAATCATTTAAACTTTTAGCCTGTCCATTTATTAAAAAGTGTTTCAGAGGCTTCCCGACCAAAAATGATGCTCAATGAGCCACTAGCATGTAAGAAAGAGCATAACTTCTTAACGGCTCCCTTCTGCAAGTCGCTTACACGTCATAAAGCTCCTCTGGTGACTTCACATGTGAGGAGGTAAAGCTGAGTGCTTATGTTTAGATCTACATTTTCCCGGTATAAGAATTCAACTCTTGATAAAACTCTGAAATCTCAAAATTTGAAAGAATCTCCAGCAGTTCCTAAAATTTTGAATTATGATAAACAGCAGAAGTCAATGATTTTAAGAAGGAAACCTACAGCAGGCCACAAAAGGTAATTTTATAGCAAAACTTTCTTCAATATAAAATTTATTTGTATAAGGAGTTCGATTGTTTTACTCTTACTCCTCATTGTGACTGGAAATTCACTTCTATTTGCCATATTTTCTATTAAAAGTGTGAAGTTGGCTCTATCAAACCAAACGAATTGAAGAAATTTATTAATCTTCGAAGCACTTTAAAAAATTCCTTGAACAACAATTAAATCTGATGGTTAGTTAATAACAGCCTTAAAACTATTTAAAAACTGAAACTTTGTTCTATTACATGCCTAAAATTAAGATTCATATATAACCTGAAATACAGAATACCTCTTCCAAAAAGCCTGTACAGATTAATGAAGCTATAAATCAAGAGTGCTCCAAGAGTTAACTATAATAATTAATCAATATCATTTATCTAACAGTTTATTTTATCTTTAATAGTTCAATGAAGGTCCTTTTTCAGCTTACCTTGATAGGTTCTTCAATCTAAATTACTCGCTTTATTAAGTTTGTTAAGGATTAAAATTCTTTAATTATCTTAAAGCTTACCGAATCAATTTGAAACATACTCTTCAGCTTGTGGATAGTTGCTAAGATTGACAAATATTACTTAAACTCTTCTGTATATTTGACAGGATTTAAATTAGGAAAGAATCGCTAAAAGCTTCAGTTACACAATAAAACAAACTTCTTTCTTGAATCAAGATTTATTAAATTAATACTAATTTTGCATAATTTGTCTACCCTATTGGGGTTTTGGGGTTTTGGGGTTTTGGGG